AAAACACTGAAAGTATATAGATCTACATGTAGTATATATAACTGTTAATGCCATTTTAATGTTAAAAATTAGGAATTAAAAAAAAAGAACATAGACCTAATCTTTTAAGCAAAATTCAAGATGAATTTCCTAGGGATGTGCCATTTTATCGGATATGGTATACTGGTGTATCACAATTTTTTGCTGTGTGATACAGAGAGATCTACATACTGGTCTTTAGGTACATATTATAAAGTCCAGAAATTATTCATTTATTTGTTCAATCTTTCAAATTACAATTACAGAAAGTATAAAAAAAATGTAGTAAAAATCAAAAGAACGTGACCATAATTGATTTTCTTATACATATAAAAATTTTAAAACATTTTGTTTTTCTATATTATATATTTAGAAAAATAATGACTTTGTAAAAACTGCTTTTAAAAATATAATGAAATTGTGTGCTTCTTGTGATAAAAATGTTTAGGAAAAAGTATTTCTGTTGTTTAATGTATACCCATTGACTTTGTGTGAAGTAATGTATTGACAAGTATTGTTACTATGTTTGTGCTGAATTACAGTTTAAAAGGCATTTTTTTTGTTATTCAGAACTGTCTTCTTAATTTTATTCCAAAAATGTTTGGTCACATATTAACTGATATACAGTATATAGAACAAAAATTTTAGAACCAAAATGAATTTCATGGTGACCTACTTTCAAGATTGATTTTTTTTCTATATTTAAGTATCTTAGGTATTTATTGGCTTAGAATCATAAAATTTTGTGAGTTGATGCATCTTGGATTTAGGAGTTAGTTTGATATAAAAATTTAAATTAGTAGAAATAATTTTTACATTTTATGGCTATATTTAAGTATTGTCCGAATCAGTGTACTAATTGGCTTAGAATCATCAAACTTTGTCAGTTGATGCATTTTTGGTTTTCGAAGAGTGACGACCAAAAATTAGGTCACGGTGACCTACTTTCGACATTTTTTGGCTATATTTAAGTATCTCTGGTATTTATTGGCTTAGAATCATCAAACTTTGAAAGTGGATGCATCTTGGGTTTTCGGAGAGTGACGACCAAAAATTAGGTCATGGTGACCTACTTTTGACATCTTATGGCAATATTTAAGTATTCTCCGGTACTTATTGGCTTAGAATCATTAAACTTTGTAAGTTGATGCATCTTGGGTTTTTGGAGAGTGACGACCAAAAATTAGGTCACGGTGACCTACTTTCGACATTTTTTGGCTATATTTAAGTAAAATCTCCGGTATTTATTAGCTTAGAATCATTAAAACTTTGTGAGTTAATGCATCTTGGGATTTAAGAGAGTGACGACCAAAAATTAGGTCATGGTGACCTACTTTTGACCTTTTATGGCTATATTCAAGTATTTTCGTGTACAAATTGGCTTAGAATCATCAAACTTTGTAAGGGGATGCATCTTGGGTTTTCGGAGAGTGACGACCAAAATTTAGGTGACAGTGACCTACTTTCGACATTTTATGGCTATATTTAAGTATCTCCAGTACTTATTGGCTTAGAGATCATCAAACTTTGTAAGTTGATGCTTCTTTGGTTTTCGGAGAGTGACGACCAAAAAATTAGGTCACGGTGACCTACTTTCGACATTTTATGGGTATATTTAAGTATTTTAGCTATTTATTGGCTTAGAATAATCAAACTGTGTAAGTTGATGCATCTTCTGACTCTGAAATATGTCGACTAAAATGTAGGTCATGGTGACTTACTTTCAACATTTTCAATGTAGAACCACTGGCTATATTTAAGTATCTCTGGTACCTATTGGCTTAGAATCATCAAACTTTGTCAGTTGATGCATCTTGGGTTTTCGGAATCTTCTTCTAAAGAACCACCAAAAAGTAGGTCACAATGACTTACTTTCGACATTTTATAGCTATATTTAAGTATCTTAGGTATTTATTGGCTTAGAATAATCAAACTGTGTAAGTTGATGCATTTTGGGTTTTCCAAGAATGTAGACCAAGAAATAGTCCTTATTGGCTAAGAATCATCAAATTCTGCAGGTGGTGCAACTTTGGTCTTAGGATACTTAGGGTTAGAGGCTTCAAATACAAGTGATAGGTTGTACAATTTATCAGAAGAGCGATTCATTAGGCCCTAGGGCGTCTTGTTGAATTTTGCTGGCATTTGTTTTCAAATTATTGAAAAGGCATATTTTGAATACTAATAGACCTATGATCATCAAATTTTGTCAGTTGATGCATCTTTGGTCTTCAGAAACTGTAGACCAAGAAGTAGGTTACTGTGACCTACTTTCGACATTTTATGGCTAGATTTAAGTATATTAGTTATTTATTGGCTTAGAAACATCAAACTTGGTGAGTTGATGTATCTTGGGATTTTGGAGATTAACGACCTCAAAGTAGGTCACATTGACCTGCTTTTAACATTTTATGACTATATTTAAGTATCTGTCAACCAAAATGTAGGTCACAGTGAACTACTTTTGACATTTTATGGAAATGTTTAATAAATTGTTTATGTATCTCAGTTTGGTTTAGAATCATTAAACTTTGTCATTTGATGCATCTTAGGTTTTCAGAGCATGTTGACCAAAAAGTTGGTCACCGTGACCTACTTTTGAATATCTCAGGTACTGATTGACTTAGAATCATCAAACTTTGTAAGGGGATGCATCTTGGTTTTCAGAAAATTTCAACCTAAAAGTAGGTCACTGACCTATTTTTGACATTTTATTGCTATATTTAGGTATTCTAGGGTACTTATTGTCTTATAATTGTCAAACTTTGTCAGTTGATGCACCTTGGGTTTGCGTAGAATGTTGACCAATAAGTAGGTCACTGTGACCCACTTTTGAATATCTCAAATACTTGTTGGCTTAGAATCATCAATCTTTGTCAATTAATGCATCTTGTGTTCTAAGAAAATTTTAATCAAAAAGTAGGTCACCATGACCTACTTATAGTATTTTATAGTTACATTTTAATATCTTCAGCCCTAACTGGCTAAGAATCATCAAACTTTATCAGTTGTTGTATCTTAGGTTTTAGGATAGATTGTATAATTTATCAGAAAAGCGATTCAGGGCCTGATTGGTCAGATTTTTATGGAAGCATCCTCATATAGTATACATTCAAAGTTGTTCAAAGCATGACCGCAGTGGGAAGACCAGGGCGACAATGGATGTCAAAGTTTTATTTAGGAAAATATTTACACTCACTTGAGCCGAATACTCAAGTGAGCTTTTCAGATCACATTTTCTCCGCCGTTTGTCTGTCTAGCTATTCCATTTGTGTGTAAACTATTCACAAATTTTAGATTTTTCCTCAAGAACCGCTGGGCGACTTTCAACCAAACTTGCCACAAAGCAGCCTTTGGTGAAGGGGATTCAAGTTTGTTCAAATGAAGGGCTACACCCTTATTCAAGGGGAGATAATTTATAAATAATAAAACTTGGTGGTGTGTTTTCAAAATTTTCTTCTCAAGAACCTCTGAACCAGGAAAGATGAAACTTACAGGGAAGCATCCTCAGATTGTGTAGATTCAAGTTTGTTCAAATCATGATCCTGGAAGTAGGACGGGGCCACAATGGTCGGTCAAATTTATTCATAGAAATATTTTGGGTAACTTAAAAAAAAAAAAAATTCTCAAACATAGCAGGGGCATGAATACTCATATTTATATGGAAGCATCCCCAGGTAATTGTAGATTCAAGTTTGTTCAAACCATGACCCCTGGGGGTAGGGTGGGGTCATAATGGCTGATAATTTTTTTAAAGAGAAATATACAGTGAAATTCTTTGAAAATCTTTTCAAGAATCAATGTGTCAGGAAAGATGGAACTTATAAGAAAGAATGCTCTGGTAGTGTAGATTCTGGTTTGTTCAAGTCTTGACCCCTAGGGGCAAGGTGGGGCCACAATAGCTGATCTCAGTTTTACATAGAACTATATATAGACAACTCTTTAAAACTCTTTTTCTCAAGAATAGCAAATGCATGCAATATGTTTACTCATATTTATATTGAAGCATCTTTAGGTAGTGTATATTCACAGGCGCTTGACGTTTTTAACTTTTCTCTTTATAAATAAAAAAAATCCCTACTATAATAATAAACAGGATGGAAATTTTTATTTATAAAGAGAAATGTTAAAAACGTCAGGTAACGTGTGTAAAATTAAATTTGCTCAAATCATAATCCCTGTGGTTGGGGCAGGGCTACAACAGGGAATCCAAGTTTTATGTATATGTAAGAAAATTCTATAAAATTCTTGTTCTCAAGAATAAAAAATCCATAATTGATCATATTTATATGGACGCATCCTACTGATCAGGTAGCGTAGAATCAAGTGATGGCCCCAGGGGGTAGGGTAGGGCTACAACGTAAGTTTAAATCTAAAAGGCAATAAAGTGACAGAAAGTCGAAGAAACATGTAAGCCAGTCTCGTTTGAAGTCATCATTTCGTAAATTCTATGGTCGATACAATGACCTTGTCAGCAATATACAATTTATCATTGAATGAAATGCTGACTGACGTTTTTCATACCAATTGTTAGTCCATTATTTATACACTGAATTGACCACGGATTTCTTCCGTTATATCCTGATTATGACAACGAGCACACGGCGGGTGTGACCGGTCAGCAGGGGATGCTTACTCCTCCATGGCACCTGATCCCACCTCTGATATTTCAGAGGTCCGTGTTTGCTCTGCTCTTATTTTGTATATTTGTTTAATGGACGTTGAGATTGAATACTGTTCATTATTTCCATATCCTTCATCCAAGTTTGTTCAAATCATACCTTCTCTCCTTTAAGGATTAGTTGGGACCACTTTTGGGTTTAAACTGTCAGTATAAAACTGATTTCTGCTTTTTTTCCTTACTACTGTGCTCAGTTGAGCGATGTGACCCACAGACCTCTTGTTTGTGTAATTGATACTTTTTTTCTTTGTAAAAATTACAAACCAATAGAGCTACATTCTCATCAAAACTTCTTGTTTTCTAGATGCCAAAGAAAAGAAAAGCTGTTTGTGGTAGAACACAACGTGAAAGAGACAGAGCTAGAAAGAGGCAGGCAAGACAGAAACCTACAATGCTAGATGTGTTGCCAGATGAGCAAGTGACTGAGTTCTCTGTTCCTTGCAGGACAGAGGATGGAGCTATGTCAGCTCCTCCCGGTAATTTTCCGGGGCTTGGTTCTATGGGGTTTCCACCTAAAGAGGAAAAACCCCTGGCCAGGGTGCAGGCCTCACTTCGAGTGAAAATGCATTCACCTGCCCCGAGGTTGCCACCTCCTCGGGGAAGTCGTCTGTTTGTCCGTAACGAGGACAAGGCACCGTCCCCTGACTCCCCACCGTGGGTTTGTGCTCCACCGAGGGCACCTGGATCGGACATAGTGCATATGTCTGATCCAGCAGGTCAGGCGCAGCTGGATACCTCCAGGATGGAGGAGACCAGTAGAGTATCAAAAGATGAGGGCTTTTTAACTGATATTAAAACTGAGTCTGAACGAATATTGAAAGGAAATTTGAATGAATACAATATAGAATCTGAAATGAGAACTTATGAGCAAGAGAACAATGAGAATCATACTGTTTCAGAGAATGGTTTTGAAGAGAAAAATAATAGAAGAAATGAAGATCACTTTTGTCAGAATAAATCTGAAATACCCTTTTCAGTTCAGGGCTCTTTTCATCAAGCTCATCCTATGTTTGAAGAGAATGCTGGAACACAGTGTGTTGCTAATTGTTTGGCAGGATTAGCTTTTCACAAATTTAAGAATGCAAAGAGCTGGACAACAATGGATATGGACAGAGTTTTAATGACAGGTGATGAACTGTACACATACTTGCAAAGAAGCTCATCAATCACTGATAGGTATTTGCTTGTAGAGGAATTACCACAATTCTTTGAATGTTTTAACCGATCATATCAGTTTCATGCAAATCAGACGTATGCAAGTGTCATTTTGGCAAATGATGGAATAAACTATGCAGAGTTTAATTCACTTCCACTAGATGAAGCACTTCAGGTTGCCCTTTCAGACAGTGATGGCTGTTTTGTATGCTTTGGTGGAAATACAATGCTTATAGGAGTGACAGGAAGTGGTTTCTTTGCTTTTGACTCTCATTCTAGATCTTCAGATGGAATGATAAGTGTAACTGGAAGGAGCACAAGAATTTTACTTCAGAATGTTAGTGAAGTGTATTCACATCTTCTAGGTCTTGCATTTTCAATGGGATATACAAAAGGTGTTGAATGTAACTTGACTGGTGTGTGTTGCAAGATGGGTGATATTGCAAATGTTAGTGAGTTATTAGAGATAGATGAAAACATTGATAGAAAATCTCAAGGGTCAAAGTTATCTTTGGAGACCACACATGAAACAGGCGATGCAGATGATGATTTGATTTTTATTGGAGATGAGCAGTTACAATTTACCTTTATTCCCTTAAGTACAAACTTTAAAAAAGCCCTTTGTGAAATTTTGAACATTCCATTCTCTAGCATTGGAAATTCTGGCGACGTCAATTGTTTTAGAACTAATATTTCACAACCATTAATTGAAAAGGAAATAATAGGAGATGGGAATTGCTTCTTTAGAGCCATTTCATTCAGTCTTGCAAATTCAGAAGATTTCCATTATGTTATACGCCATGCTGTCTGTGAGCATATAATGGAAAACAAAGAGCTATTTAAACCATTCTTAAGAGATGGCGTACAGTCCGTAGAAAGTCACCTGTCTTCCACACAAATGTCACAGGGAGGTACTTGGGCTACTGAGGTTGAAATATTTGCAACAGCTCATCTTCTAAACATTGATATATACACTTTCTCTAGAGAATGTTGGTTAAGGTTTTTAGTTGCTGAAGTAGATCCTGGTTTGCAAAGCAAAACTGAAGCAATTTATTTGAATCACTACCAGCAGAACCATTACAACGTTGTACTGTCTGTTAATGGAGAGGAAATTGACTTAGCACCACGACAATGGTTTAAAACTTCTCAAGAGTATGAAAAGCGATACCAAAACCGAACACGTATGCAGGTGGAAAGGCAATCTAGAACAGAAAAACGGGGAAGTGTTAGTGCAGTCAAGAAACGAAATGAATCTTTAAGACAGAGATATGAGGAAGATAAAGAATTTAGAGAAAAGAAACTGAAAAGATCTTTCTTAAAGTATTCAACAGATGATGATTACAGGGAAAATGTCAAGAAGAGAAGTATTGATAGATATGCAATAAACGATAAGCAGAGGGAAGATGTAAAAAGAAGAAGTATTGACAAGTATGCAACAGATGTTGATCACAAGGAAGATGTCAGAAAAAGAAGTATTGACAAGTATGCGACAGATGTTGATCATAGGGAAAATATCAAGTGGAGAAGCATTAACAAGTATGCAACAGATGACCAACATAGAGAAAAGGTCAAAGCAAGTAGTAAATTGAAATACAACTCAGATGAAATGCACAGAATTCTAGTCAATACTTCAAGTACAGAGAGATACAGGGAAAATGAGAATTTCCGAGAAGCAAAGCTTCAAACCGCAGCGAAAAAGTACAAAAGTGATGAATCGTTCAGGTCAAAAATTAAAGATGCAAGTCGACATCAATATGATTCGAATGCAGAGACGAAAATGAAAAAGAAAGAGATGGTAAAAAGTCGTAGAAATGCTGAAACAGCTAGATTAGAAAACCAGGAAGAGGTGGTAAAAGTATTTAAAGAAAATGTTGTGCAAGGCATTGACTATTCGTGCTGTTGTTGTGATCGGCTACTGTTTCGGAATCAAGTTCAAAGATGCGAACGGAAAGCATATGCCAAAACTGAGCAGGCAGCAAGTGTTGCAGACTTGTGTATTCAAGATAAGTACTGTCACGAATGTATAGAATCATGTCCAAAGGATTGCATTAAATCAACGTTATGGATTTGTTATACTTGTCACAGGAAAATCTTAAGCGGAAATTTTCCAGCAGAAGCTGCAGCGAACAAAATGGCTTTGGAAGATATTCCAAAGGAATTACAAGAATTGAACAGCCTTGAGAAACACTTGATTGCAATACATATACCTTTCATGAAAGTCATAAATCTTCCTCATGGTGGTCAGAAAAATATCCATGGGCCAGTTGTATGTGTACCAGCTGATTTGAAAAAAGTTACAAGTTTACCGATGAGACCTGGAGAAGATCATTTACTTAGAGTAAAACTAAAGAGGAAGTTGAATTACAAAGGGTACAGCGAGTACCAGTTTGTTGATCCAAAGCACATATGTGAGGCATTGAAGTATTTAAAACTTAACAATCAATGGTATGAAGATGTAGCAGTTGATACAAACTGGAAAGGGCAAATTGAAGATGTAGAAGAAATTTTGGAGGTTGGCGATTCACTATCAGAGGATGATGATCAGCAGCCCAGTGTGTCAGATTCTTGTCTACAACCTGTTGATATTGGTCAGGAGGTTCTTGATCATTACTTCGATGATATATATGACATTGCTCCAGGAGAAGGCAATAATCCAGTTAGGATGTTACAGGAAGAAGGGAATGAGGCAAAAACATTTCCATACCTTTTCCCAAGTGGGCAGTTTTCGTGGAATGACAACAGAGAAACACGAATAACACTATCAAGATACTACAACAATCGTCTTATGAATACAGACGCGAGATTTGCGAAAGACAGTAATTACATTTTCTTCAGTCAGTTTATGTCTGATTTAAATCAAGTTATAGAGAAGACGCAGATATCAATAAGGAAATCAATCAGAAGAATAGGAAATGACCAAGAAGTGACAGCAAATATGGTACAGGACCCTGAAGTACTTTCGAAGTTGATGAAAAATGACGAGGCTTTACGATTCATGCAGCCTATACGAGGAACACCAGCATACTGGTCAGCTGCACAAAAGGATCTGTTTGCTATGCTTAGACAATTAGGAATACCTACTTGGTTTTGTTCCTTCTCTGCTGCAGAACATAGATGGAATGATGCGGTCACTACAATATTGAAACAACAGAATGATAACAGAGATGCTTGTATGTTAGACTGGTCTGAAAAGAATGAGGTACTGAGAAGTAATCCTGTCACTGTTGCCAGAATGTTTGAGCATAGATTTCATGTGTTTCAGAAAGATGTAATATTTTCACCTTCAGAACCAATTGGAAAAGTGTCTGATTTCTTCCAAAGAGTCGAATTTCAACAAAGGGGATCACCTCACATGCATTGTTTATATTGGATAGAAAATGCACCAAAACTTAATGAAGATGGAGAGGATGCCGTTTGTAATTTCATAAACAAATACGTGAGTTGTACCGTGCCCTCCGAGGAAGAAGATTTGGAGCTGAGGAACATTGTCTTAGCAGTGCAACAACACAGCAAAAATCATTCAAAGTCATGCCGAAAGAAGGGCACAGAGTGTAGGTTTAATTTCCCTAGACCACCATCTGTATCCACATTTATCAACTCTCCACTTGAAGAAGAAGATGAAACTGAGGCTACTGATTTGCAAAAACAACAGTCCATCGCTAAGGAAATTCTATTACAAGTTTGGAATGAAGTGCAAGATGAAGCAAATAAATCGAAAACAACCGAAGATATTTTCAGTTATCTAGGATTGACGCAAACACAGTATGAGGAAGCTCATAAAAGATTAGCAAAAAAGAGAACTGTTGTTCTTGAAAGAAACCCATGTGAGCTCTGGATAAATCAATACAATCCATGCCTCTTAAAATGCTGGGATGCAAATATGGACATTCAGTTTGTTTTGGATCCATTTAGTTGTATTGTCTACATTATTTCATACATTTCAAAGTCTGAGAGAGAAATGGGAATGCTATTGAAACAAACAAAAATAGAAGCAGAAGAAGGCAACGAGAGTGCACGAACAACATTAAAGAAAATTGGTTCTGCCTATTTGAATCACAGAGAAGTGAGCACTCAAGAAGCTGTTTATCGCGTATGTAATCTGAAAATGAAGGAATGTTCAAGAAAGGTAGTGTTTGTACCAGTGGGTGATAATCCTACTCGTCTAACTAAGCCATTGTCTCAGCTAAAAAGAAATCAAACGAAGATGAATGATGGAAATGTTGAGGATGACGATGAAGAGGATGATATTTGGATGACAAATGTAGTAGAAAGATATGAAAATCGACCAAATGATCCATCCTTTCCAAATATGTGTTTGGCAGAATTTTGTTCTGATTTCAGAATACTTGCAAAATCACAGGTTCCAAAGACTCAAAACGACAACGTGTTTGAACTAAAGAACTCGAAAGGTTTTGTCCAAAGAAGAACTCGTACAAAGTCAGCTGTAATAAGATACCCTAGATTCGATCGGGAGAAAATGTCAGAGAAGTATTACCAATGTCTGCTACAGCTTTTCTTACCTTACTCTACACATACGCAGTTGAAACCTCCTGGGTTTGACCTTTATGAAGCATTTTATGAAAATGGATATGTACGAATGACAGGAAAGAAGAAAGTACAGTCAGTAAAATCAATTGTTGACAAAAACAGAACACGCTTTGCTCAAAATGAAGATATCATCGCAGAGGCATTGGAAACTTATGAAAATATCGGAGAGCCAGAAGATGCTTGGGCAAATCTCTGTCCAGAGACAGAATTAATGAGACAAGAATGTTCTGCAAAGAGATGTATAGGTCTGGATTTGAATGATACAGAAGAGCTACCAGACATGCAAACAGAAAGCAGTTCAGATGTTCTTTACAGTGTTCAACAGAATACACAATCAAGGGAGGAGACAATGCAGATTCTTCAAAGTTTAAATGAGACACAAATGAAAGTATTTTACTTAGTACGGGAATGGTGCCTGCAAAAAATCTTTGGAGAGAAAACTGATCCACTGCATATATTTATAACAGGTGGAGCAGGAACAGGCAAGAGTCATCTTATCAAAGCCATACATTTTGAAGCATCACGAATTCTAGGGAAAAAAATAACTTCTCCTGACAGTGTTTCAGTATTACTGGCTGCATTTACTGGGACAGCTGCATTCAACATTGGAGGAAATACGATCCATCATTTATTTTCATTGCCCAAATATATGTCTCTGCCATATGAACCATTGAAAGAACAGAGTTTAAGTGAAATGAGAGTTCAAATTGGAGATCTGCAAATACTGGTTATTGATGAAATTTCCATGGTATATAAAAGATTATTATACTACGTTCACGAGAGACTTGTGCAGATTAAAAAATCCAAGGAGCCCTTTGGAGGAGTGTCAGTAATTGCAGTGGGAGATTTCTACCAACTTCCTCCTGTAAAACAGCGTAAAGATGAAAGACTGTATAAAGACAATGCTCTTTATCCTGTTGATTATTGGGTAGACTTTTTCAAAGTAGTGGACTTGACTGAAATTATGAGACAACGTGAAGACATTCCATTTGCAACAGCACTGAATTCACTTCGGACTAGACTAGTAAAACAACCCCTGGAAGAGAAAATAAGTTCCATCTTGAATGACTGTGTAAGAGAGGGACCAGAAAATGTTCTCCACGTCTACGCAACAAATGACGAAGTCAATTCGTATAATTTGTCAATGCTCAGACGTACTTGTTCTGACCTTGTCGAGATTGATGCTCAAGACTTTTCGAAAGATAGAACAACAGGCAAGCTAATTTTAAGAAGTAAACCAATAACAAGGTCCAAAACAGACAATCTTTCTAGCAGTTTGCTATTGGGTATCAATGCAAAAGTTATGCTGACAAGAAACTGTAACGTAGATGATGGCCTTGTAAATGGAGTAATGGGGCAGATCTCTCATTTTGTGTATAGCCAGAAGCATGATGCAAACACTGTTGTTGCAGTAGCAGTAATATTTGACAATGTCAATGTTGGGAAAAAGTCTGGGAAAAAAACAAATAATGGGAATATTGTTTTAATTGAAAGAGTTCAAGAGGAAATACTAGAACATAAAAAACAAAATGTAGTTCGACATCAGTTTCCACTACGCTTGTCGTGGGCATGTACCTCTCACAAAGTACAAGGAATGACAGTGGACAAGGTTGTAGTCAATTTAGATAAGACATTCTCTCCTGGTCAAGGGTATGTAGCTTTGAGTAGAGTGACGTCAAAAGAAGGATTATTTATTGAAACAAACGATTTGGAATCATTACAGAAGAAGATCTACGCTGACCCCGAAGTTAAATCAGCTTTGGAAGAGATGCCAAAATTAGATCTTCCTAACTTTGATCAGTTAGAACAAGGCATAACAATTTTCCTTCACAATATTCAAAGTCTTAACAAACATTTTGAAGACTTACAAAAAGATATTCGATTTAGGAATGCAGATATAATCTGCCTAAAGAAACTTGGTTGAGATCTGAACAAAATGTTAGAAAATTTACAATAGAGGGATTTAGTTTTTACCAAGTAACCAGAGAGGATGCATATGATGCCAGCAATGCTAACTTCTCACAGTTGGGTGCATCAAAAGGTGGAGGTGTGGCTGTCTACATTAAAGATACTGGACAAGAAAATGCTGCATCTTCTCTTCCTGTGAAGAATGTGGAGGCCATTTGTGTGAAATGTCTCTTAAAAGATATGGTAGTTTTAACTGTCTATCGGCCAAATTCTTTGGATGCTACTCAGTTCTTAGTACAGTTTGAGAAAGTAGTTAAATATTTCAGGTCACAGTATAGGTTTTTTATCTGTCTTGGAGACTTCAATGAAGATGCGAGATCTATAGGAGTTATTCAGACATTCATGCTTAATCAAGGTTTTAAGCAAATGGTTGATTTTAATACCACAGAAGGGGGAACTATTCTTGACCATGTATACCTGTCAAAATCTTTACAGGCAAAAGTGGAAAAGGTACCGACATATTACAGTTACCACGATGCATTAATGGTAAAAGTCATAACAGACGAAGAAAATTGTGTATAAATTCGACTCCCTTTACTTGTGTAGGAATCCAGACATTCATTCGTAATTTGGTTTAAAAACAAAAAGCAGGGATGACATTTGTATTCAGTTAAGCGATTATTGGATCACATTGATCATTATTATTTCTCCTCTCAAAATTATTAGCCATGAATGAGATTCACGAATAAACCAACTTGTGAAAATCAGTTATTCAAAGATATCATTTGAGAAGCTCATCCCTTTACCAAACCAAATGAAAGATTTTGTGAATATTTTGCTCAGTGATATTTTATCTTTCTAAGTAGTTTGGTCATTTCATACATCATATATGATAGGTAATTAATTTATGCTATATCATTACACAGAGTAAATAATCATAGAATTTCGTCGTCCCTCTTAGCTCTGAATTAAGGACTCTTTTAAATCCCTTTTTGTCATATCAAATGAAGTCAAAAATAAAGTAATCATTGACGATTAAACGATCTACCCTTTGCGTCGATAATAATACCGTTTTGCAAAAAATGAAAGGTTTTATATTGTAGCCGTGTGATTCTGAAGTACCTTATCTTGACGATTTGCAACTTTTTTTGTGCAACTATACATTTTTAAAATTTTGATCATACGTTACGTAATTAAGGGTCACATGGGGTCAGAATGCTACATCTTTTAGGTTTTACATCTCGAAAAGGGCCAATACTTTGATAGGAAATATTGAACAAAAGATGGCCAAAATGATGTTTTAAGCAATATGCACACTGATTAGGTAACATATGATCAGAATTTTATAATGTATAGTTGCAAATTGTCAAGATAAACATTTTTGCCTCAGTAATGTATTACAAAATATTGATCGTTATCGAGCTAAAGATGAAACACTTTTGGCCCTTCAAAGCCCTTAATTGTAGGGTTCAGTCCCCTTTTCCTGATTTCAATTGAAAGGTTATAGGGAAAAAAGCTCGTAAAATCGAACTAAAAAGTGATTCAAAAAATTTTGGTCACAAGGAGGATTGAACCCTATTTGAGAACTGCTCTAAATATACTGAACAAAAAAAAAAAAAGAAACGCATAATCAGAATGATATGAAATTCTAACTTTTCAGTTTAAATTTTATATTATTTAAGCGATTTTAGAGTGTGTTGTGATAAAAATCAATATTGCAAATTGAAAAGTCAAGTTGATGTCATTTTGATTGCCCCCAAATTCAAGGGGCATAACAATATGTACTGTGCAAAGTCTCAATGCTAGTGGATTTTCAATGTAGGGATATTGTGGGGGAATACCATCTTATTTCAGTATTTTGGGAACACTTTATGCATTTTTATGCAAATTTTACTATCCAGCAATTAAAGCAGCAGTTTTACAGCAAGTTCTAAATCGTATGAGGTAAAGAGGGAGGGGGGTATCTGACGCTCCAGTCTGGTTGTGGTTACATGCGGATGGCATGATAGTGGTCTTCAGACGTTAGTTTTAAGGTTTCAAAGCCCATTGATTTATTTCAAATACAGTTGCAACTTCCTGTTGCGTAGCTCCATTTAGTATCATCATTAGCCTGGTTGTATTCATCTTTGTTTGGGCGTGGCATTGCAGTATCAACACTGCAATCGAATGTTAAATATTGGTTCAATAGAAGTGTGAAAAGTTTCTCTAAATCCAAAATATTAATGAAAATAGACAACTGATTTAGAAAAAATCATGAAAAACACTACTTTCATAAACCTGTTTAATCAAGGGAGATAATTCAACACTTGGGTTTTAAAACCCCATGTTGTCCTTTGAATAGGTCACAGGTATCCATTGATATAAAAAATAGTTGTTTCATGTACATTCTAAAAATTTCTTTGACGAGTAAAACAATATGCGTTTCTTTTTTTTGTTGAGTATATATTTGTGTATACTTTTGCAACAGTACACCTGTCTTAGAATTATAAAAGGCGGGAAACTATTCAAAATTTCGCGCCAAACGTCACGAGTAAATATTCGCAGATTTCTTTTAGACTGATCTATTAAAAAGGTGTGATAGCTTCAATGAAATTTTAATTTGACGTTAAGAAAGTATATTTAAGACATTCTACACATAAAATATCGTATCTAGCCCACTAAAACTAAAGCAAAGAAATGGAAATAAAGTTTTAAGATTGACACTGTATTGAAACGTACTACTACGTGAAAGTCCAAGTAGTTTTTTACATTTCATGTATCCTTATAACAGAATGGTTTAATCAAAAGCTCAGCTGTCTCCATAAACCCCTACCCGCGAAATGGCGGAGTTGACAAAACAGCCGCCATTTTGGGCCCGCTTCAAATTTTCAAACATTAATATCAAGAATTCAGATAAACCAATTTTCAAACAACTTATATAGTAAGCATCAAATTCTTAAGATGAATACTTTTGCTTCAGTAATGTATAACAAAATATTGATCATTAGAGAGTTATAGATGAAATATTTTTGGCGTATTTTAGCCCCAAATTTGAGGGGCCAGTCCTATTTTTATGACATCAAATGAAAGGTCTTGTCATGTTGCACATTTTTTCTTCAATGTGCTTTAACAAATTATGAACAGATGTGAAGATATGAAACAAAATGTGTCAACTTTTGTGACATATTTCTGAGACATTTTTTCGGGTCCTACCGAGCTCCTGCGCCTTTTCCGCTAGAAACATTCGAAAACCTAATAACAACTCACCAAACGTTACTTTATTCACTGAAAATCTTATGTTGATATCTTAAGTCGTTTCGGAGGAGTTTCCAGGACAAGCCGACCATCTTAAAATCAGAAAATCGTCCATATCTCGCGACCGAGATTTGAGATAATCAACAAGAGGCCCAGAGGCCCAGGGGCCACATCGCTCACCTGGGCAATTGGCTAGGAAAAAACAGATCAGATCAGAACTGAAACTAAATATGGGTGTAAGGACATGGATTTTACACCCCCAGGGGGTCATGATTTGAACAAACTTGAATCTACATTACCAGAGGATGATTCCCTATAAATATAACGAAGCCTGGCTTTGAAGTACTTGAAAAGGAGATTTAAAAAGGTTCCCTATGTGTTCCTATGTAAAATTTTGACCCGCCATTTTGATCCCACCCTACCCCCGGGGGTCATGATTTGAACAAACTTGAATCTACACTACATGAGGATGATTCCACATGAGTTTAATCTTTCCTGGCCCAGTGGTACGTGAGAAGAAGATTTTTAAGGATTTTTTTCTATATATTCCTATGTAACACTTTGATCGGCAATTTTGGCCCCACCCTACCGCCGGGGGTCATGATTTGAACAAACTTAAATCTACACTACCTGAGGATGATTCCTCATTAGCTTCATATTTCCTGACCCAGTGGTTCTTGAGAAGATTTTTAAAGATTTTTCATATATACTAGTATATTCCTATGTAAAACTTTGATCGGCCATTTTGGCCCAATATTACCTCGGGGGGTCATGATTTGAACAAACTTGAATCTACACTACCTCAGGATGATCCCACATGAGTTTTATCTTTCATGGCCCAAGGTTATAGAGAAGAAGATTTTTAAAGGATTTTTTCTATATATTCCTATGTAAAACTTTGATCGGCCATTTTGGCCCCACCATAACCAAGGGGTCATGATTTGAACAAAATTGAATCTACACTACCTGAGGATGATTCCACATGAGTTTCATTTTTCATGGCAACGGTGGTACTTGAGAAGAGGATTTTTTAAAAATACAATTAATTTTTCTCTAATTCATAATTATCTCCCCTTAGAAAAGGACCTGACCCTTCATATGAACAAACTTGAATCCCCTTTACCCAAGGATACTTTGTACCAAGTTTGGTTGAAATTGGCCCAGTGGTTTTTGAGAAGAAGATGAAAATGTGAAAAGTTTACGACGACGACAACGACAGACAATGTACACATTTTGATCAGAATAGCTCACTTCAGCCTTCGGTCAAATGCCACGAGTAAATGTTCGCGTATTTTCTTTAGACTGATTTATTAAAAAAGTGTGATGGCTTCAATGAAATTAAATAAATAAAACGTTTTTATCGCCTTTATTTTATTTCGACGTTAAGAAAGTATATCTAACACATTCTACACATTAAATATCGTATCTAGCCCAGTAAAACAGTGAAACGGAAATAAAGTTTTAAGATTGACACTGTATTGCAACGTACTAATATGCGAAAGTCCAAGTAGTTTTTTACATTTCATGTATCCTTATGTCAGAATGGTTTAATCAAACACTCAGCTGCCTCCATAAACCCCTACTCGCAAATGGCGGATTTGACAAAAACAGCCGCCATCTTGGCCCCCTTCAGATTTTCAAATATTAATATCTAGAATTCAGATTAACCAATATTCAAACACTTTATATAGTAAGCATCAAATTTTTATTTTGATTTAAAAAACAGCAAATTTGCAGTACTTTTCTACAACCACATTAAAGCTTATCAACATAAAATATATA